ACTTCCAGCACATCTGCCTGCTGAAATCACAGTGGTTTCCTTTTTCCAGAGGCCCTAAAACTCAATCTGTAGCCCCTGATACTTCATAATCTTTCCTCTCTTTGTCTTCTTTGTTTTAAAGCCATCATCATCATCATCATCACCATCAATCAGGGGTTCATCTGGAAATGCTGCCCATGGACATGGCTCTTCTGCTGCAACCCTGGAAGGCAATGCATGCATGCATCCCTCTAGAAGGGTATCTCTCGCCCCCTCCCCACCTTTGCCAAATGTGGCCTAAGCAGCCCCTGCATCTCCTTTGCAATGCTTGTTGCCACGGAAACTGCATCCCCAGGACCAGACACTCAGAGAAGCCATCACTCAGCCCGGCAGCCAATCAGCAGAGCCCTGAAGCCAGCATCCTTGCAGTCACCCAGGCGACCAATAAGCATCTCACCTGCTTTGGGAAGTCCTCAGCTGCTAGAGGAACCAATGACCGGCTCACCTGCCCCAGAAGCTCCCAGTCGCTCAGGCAACATCACCCGGACGGACACCTTTCCCCCTCTTGCACATTTGCCACTTGCCAGAGCCAGCCAGCCAAGCCAACAAGCCACACAATTGGGCTGGAAGCACATTGCCAACAAGGCTGGGCGGCTGGGTGTTATTTTAATTCATGGCGTGATGAACATGAACGCATCTGGCAGACCCAGTAGCACTGTCTCCATGCTCAGCAATCCTTGCCTCTGTTGTCATCTTCAGAACAGAAAAGGAGGAGGTGGGAAAAGGAGAAAATCCCAGCACCTTGGATGATGAGACAAGAGTAATAGTAGTAGTAGTAGTAGTAGTAGTAGAGAGATCTTGTTGCACCTTTGAGACTCGCTGGAAGAAAGAAATTGGCAGCATGAACTTTCGTAGACTACAGTCTACTTCCTGCAATGCATTTGGTCTCCAAATGCATCCAAGGAACTAGACTGAAGTCTATGAAGTCTCAAAAATGCTACAAGATCTCTCTACATACTGATTCTACAGACTAGAATGGCTATATCATTATTATTATTATTATTATTATTATTATTATTATTAACTATGAAACTATTAAAAAAACAAATTCCAATAAGCAAACCTTGATTTTGCCATTTTATATAAACAACACTAGTTTTATTATGCCATTGTATTTAATGAGACTTGAGCATCCTTGGATTTTGTTACCCATGGGAGTCTTGGAACTAAACCCCAGTGAATACCAAGGATTCACTATACAATGAAACATACATTCATTTTGTGTTTAGACTTGGGTACCATCTCCAACAAATCTCATTATGTGTATACATATGCAAATATAGGTATTCCAAAATCCTAAACACTTCTGGTTCCAGACATTTCGGATGAGGGAGACTCAACCTGTAATAATAGTGATCACGATAATTATTGTTGCTATTGTTGTAAGGAGGAATTCAGAGGATGAGTGATGATGACCCAAGCAATCTTTATAGCCTGGCATCTATAGCCATTACCTCAACCAGAGGCTGTAGCCCATAGGCCATATGAGATCCCCAGGGGCTTATATTTATAGAATCATGGAGGCTGCATCTGTGCTGCAGAAATAATGCAGTTTGGCACCGCTTTAACCACCATGGCTCAATGGTATGGAATTTTGGGATTTGTAGTTTTGTGAGATATTTAGCCTTCTGTATCAGAGAACTCAAACCGTTGCAGCACATTGGTAGCTGCATACCCCACTGAGTGGGAAGTGTGGGATGGGAAGATCAAATAGCCTTCAGCTACAGTCCCAATGCATGAAGGGCTGGAGGTCTAGGCCAGGGTTGGTATTGAGGGGTAAAATCTCCATGGCCCCTGTGAGCATCCAAGATGCTTCCTCCAGGCCAGTATCTGCCCAGGTACAAAGCAAGTAGAAGCCACACGTCTCATTGCCCTGTGGTGGATCGCCCTGGTTTGCAGGTGCTTTCCCACCCCTGTTATGAGCTACGGATCTGAACATTGCAAATGGGAGTTGCAATAAATATTTATCAGCTACATTTCGCCCAGCAATGCCATCAGCATGACAGGATACAATTACAGAATGCAACGAGGCTGATAAAATGTATGCAGCGCTTAGCACACACGTAATGTACACACGCAACCGTTCTTCCTCTCCTCCTCTTGCAAAAGACACACGTACAAGGGGTCAGGTTTGCACACTCGGGACAGAGTCCTATCCATTAACTATCCTCATGTTGTTGTTGTTTTCCCCCAGAGTCACGCTGCACAGAAGGCAGGCAAAATCAGCGGGCTCCGAGCAGAGTATTTCTGCAAACGCTTGATTTCTTTCGGGGTCACCACACCGGTGGCCTTTTCTCTCCTCCTGCCACCCCTGTGCCAGGGATGTTACCCCAGGATTCACGCCAGGGTCACTAAGCAATGTTTGCATGAGAAATTTCGCTGCTGATAGCTGCCACAGACTGAAGAGAAAGCACAGCCCAGAAAAGGAGCTCCTGCATTTTTGACTGCATTTCGTTTTTCAACTATATTACTATTGCTTTCAATAATATGTGTTTGATCACTTCTCAGTCGGAGCCTCTGTATCCACAGATTCTGCGCCCATGGATTCAGCTATCCACGACTTTTTAGTATTTTTTAACAAATCCAAAATACAAACCTTGATTTTACCATTTTATTTAATGCACACCAGTTTACTATGGCATTGTATATATAGTGGGTCATGGATAGGGGTTCAGGACCCCCATAAACATAGAAAAAATTGAAATAAAAAGCACTTTTTTTAACCTGAGAGAACACTTCTCTAGGGATTTCTAGGTGCTCCGGTGCAAGTCTATGGTCAACATCTACCAGACGTTGACCATAGAATTGTGCTGGAGGACCAACAAATGTCTAGAGAAGTATTCTTTCTAGGAATCTCTAGTTTGACTTCTGGCAGACGTTGACTATAGAGTTGT